TAAACAAAAATGAATGAATTCATCACCACTAAACCAGCCCTACAAGAGATCCTAAGGGGAATCCTGTGAGACAAAGTACCAGAGACATCGCTACAAGCATGAAACCTACAGACATCACAGTGACTCTAAACCCATATCTTTCTATAACACTGAATGTAAATGGACTAAATGTGCCAACCAAAAGACATAGGGTATCAGAATGGATAAAAAAAAAAAAAAAAGACCCATCTATTTCCTGTCTACAAGAGACTCATTTTAGACCTGAGGACACCTTCAGATTGAAAGTGAAGGGATGGAGAACTATTTATCATGCCACTGGAAGTCAAAAGAAAGCTGGAGTAGCCATACTTATATCAGACAAACTAGACTTTAAATTAAAGGCTGTAACAAGAGATGAAGAAGGGCATTATATAATAATTATAGGGTCTGTCCATCAGGAAGAGCTAACAGGCATAAATGTCTATGCGCCAAATATGGGAGCCCCCAAATATATAAAACAATTACTCACAAACATAAGCAACCTTATTGATAAGAATGTGGTAATTTCAGGGGACTTTAATACTCCACTTACAACAATGGATAGATCATCTAGACACAGGATCAATAAAGAAACAAGGGCCCTGAATGATACATTGGATCAGATGGATTTGACAGATATATTTAGAACTCTGCATCCCAATGCAACAGAATATACTTTCTTCTCGAATGCACATGGAATATTCTCCAAGATAGATCACATACTAGGTCACAAAACAGCCCTTCATAAGGATACAAGAATTGAGATCATACCGTGCATACTTTCAGACCACAATGCTATGAAGCTTGAAATCAACCACAGGAAAAAGTCTGGAAAACCTCCAAAAGCATGGAGGTTAAAGAACACCCTACTAAAGAATGAATGGGCCAACCAGGCAATTAGAGAAGAAATTTAAAAATATATGGAAACAAACAAAAATGAAAATACAACAATCCAAACGCTTTGGGATGCAGTGAAGGCAGTCCTGAGAGGAAATACATTGCAATCCAGGCCTATCTCAAGAAACAAGAAAAATCCCAAATACAAAATCTAACAGCACACCTAAAGGAACTAGAAGCAGAACAGCAAAGACACCCCAAACCCAGCAGAAGAAGAGAAATAATAAAGACCAGAGCAGATATAAACAATATAGAATCTAAAAAAAAACAGTAGAGCAGATCAATGAAACCAAGAGTTGGTGTTTTGAAAAATAAATAAAATTGATAAATCTCTAACCAGGCTTCTCAAAAAGAAAAGAGAAAGGACCCAAATGGATAAAATCACCAAAGAAAATGGAATTATTACAACTAATCCCTCAGAAATACAAGCAATTATCAGGGAATACTATGAAAAATTATATGCAACAAACTGGACAACCTGGAAGAAATGGACAAATTCCTAAACACCCACACATTTCCAGAACTCAATCAGGAGGAAACAGAAAGCTTAAACAGACCCATAACCAGTGAAGAAATTGAATCAGTCATCAAAAATCTCCCAACAAATAAGAGTCCAGGACCAGATGGCTTCCCAGGGGAGTTCTACCAGACGTTTAAAGCAGAGATAGTACCTATCCTTCTCAAGCTATTCCAAAATTAGAAAGGGAAGCAAAACTTCCAGACTCATTCTATGAAGCCAGTATTACTTTGATTCCTAAACCAGAGACCCAGTAAAAAAAGACAACTATAGGCCAATATCCCTGATGAATACGGGTGCAAAAACTCTCAATAAGATACTAGCAAATCGAATTCAACAGCATATAAAAAGAATTATTCACCATGATCAAGTGGGATTCATTCCTGGGCAGCAGGGCTGGTTCAGCATTTGCAAATCAATCAATGTGATACATCACATTAATAAAAGAAAAGATAAGAACCAAATGATTTTGTCAATCGATGCAGAAAAAGCATTTGACAAAATTCAGCAACTTTCTTAATAAAAACCCTTGAGAAAGTCGAGATAGAAGGAACATACTTAAACATCATAAAAGCCATTTATGAAAAGCCCACAGCTAACATCATCCTCAATGGGGAAAAACTGAGAGCTTTTTCCCTGAGATCAGGAACACGACAGGGATGTCCACTCTCACTGCTGTTATTTAACATAGGGTTGGAAGTGCTAGCATCAGCAATCAGACAACAAAAGGAAATCAAAGGCATCAAAATTGGCAAAGATGAAGTTAAGCTTTCACTTTTTGCAGATGACATATTATACATAGAAAATCCGATAGACTCCACCAGAAGTCTGCTATAACTGATACATGAATTCAACAAAGTCGCAGGATCCAAAATCATTGTACAGAAATCAGTTGCATTCTTATACACCAATAATGAAGCAACAGAAAGACAAATAAAGAAACTGATCCCATTCACTATTGCACCAAGAAGCATAAAATCCCTAGGAATAAATCTAACCAAAGATGTAAAAGATCTGTATGCTGAAAACTATAGAAAGCTTATGAAGGAAATTGAAGAAGATATAAAGAAATGGGAAAACATTCCCTGCTCATGGATTGGAAGAATAAATATTGTCAAAATGTCAATACTACCCAAAGCTATCTACACATTCAATGCAATCCCAATCAAAATTGCACCAGCATTCTTCTCGAAACTAGAACAAGCAATCCTAAAATTGATATGGAACCACAAAAGGCCCCAAATAGCCAAAGTAATTTTGAAGAAGAAGACCAAAGCAGGAGGCATCCCAATCCCAGACTTTAGCCTCTACTACAAAGCTGTATTCATCAAGACAGCATGGTATTGGCACAAAAACAGACACAAAGATCAATGGAATAGAATAGAAACTCCAGAACTAGACCCACAAAGGTAGGGCCAACTAATCTTTGACAAAGCAGGAAAGAATATCCAATGGAAAAAAGACAGTCTCTTTAACAAATGGTGCTGGAAGAACTGGACAGCAACATGCAGAAGATTGAAACTAGACCACTTTCTCACATCATTCACAAAAATAAACTCAAAATGGATAAAGGATCTGAATGTGAGACAGGAAACCATCAAAACCCTAGAGGAGAAAGCAGGAAAAGACCTCTCTGACCTCAGCTGTAGCAATTTCTTACTTGACACATCCCCAAAGGCAAAGGAATTAAAAGCAAAAATGAACTATTGGGACCTCATGAAGAAAAAAAGCAAAGGAAACAATCAACAAAAGTAAAAGGCAACCAACGGAATGGAAAAAGATATTTGCAAATGACATATCGGACAAAGGGCTAGTATCCAAAATCTATAAAGAGCTCACCAAACTCCACACCCAAAAAACAAATAACCCAGTGAAGAAATGGGCAGAAAACATGAATAGACACTTCTCTAAAGAAGACATCCGGATGGCCAACAGGCACATGAAAAGATGCTCAAAGTCGTTCCTCATCAGGGAAATACAAATCAAAACCACACTCAGATATCACCTCACGCCAGTCAGAGTGGCCAAAATGAACAAAACAGGAGACTATAGATGCTGGAGAGGATGTGGAGAAACGGGAACCCTCTTGCACTGTTGGTGGGAATGCAAATTGGTGCAGCCACTCTGGAAAACAGTGTGGAGGTTCCTCAAAAAATTAAAAATAGACCTACCCTATGACCCAGTAATAGCACTGCTAGGAATTTACCCAAGGGATACAGGAGTACTGATGCATAGGGGCACTTGTACCCTAATGTTTATAGTGGTACTCTCAACAATAGCCAAATTCTGGAAATAGCCTAAATGTCCATCAACTGATGAATGGATAAAGAAATTGTGGTTTATATACACAATGGAGTACTACGTGGCAATGAGAAAGAATAAAATATGGCCCTTTGTAGCAACATGGATGGAACTGGAGAGTGTGATGCTAAGTGAAATAAGCCACACAGAGAAAGACAGATACCATATGTTTTCACTCTTATGTGGATCCTGAGAAACTTAACAGAAACCCATGGGGGAGGGGAAGAAAAAAAAAAAAGAGAGAGATTAGAGTGGGAGAGAGCCAAAGCATAAGAAACTCTTAAAAACTGAGAACAAACTGAGGGTTGATGGGGGGTGGGAGGGAGGGGAGGGTGGGTGATGGGTATTGAAGAGGGCATCTTTTAGGTTGAACACTGGGTGTTGTATGGAAACCAATTTGACAATAAATTTCATATATTGAAAAAAATAATTGATCCATTTAATCTTTTGAGGCATAACAGCCTATACATTATGTTTAACTTTGTATTATTCCTTATCATCAGTATTTTGATGTATGTCTAAATAGAGAGACCCATGTAGTAGTTTCTCCTGTGAATTCTGTGACATTTATTGACATTGGATGCTCAATTAAATATTTCTCTAAATATTTATAACTTTCAAGTTACCTTCTTTTATGCACTGTCTGGTGTTGGCTAAAGTGTTCTTTACTATGAAGGCCTTTCCTCATTCATTAGGTCTGTAGGATTTAATCTCATGTGTTTTTTGGGATATTGATTAAGGATTCAATTCCACTTAAAAGCATGGCAACTTTCTCTACATGTTAGTTTCTCTCCTGAAAGATAGCTATGATCTTGAGCAAGTTGTGAGTTCCAGCTTTGGTTGGACACATTCTTTACCTCTGTAATGTTTCTCCTCAGTATAAAGTCTGAGATATTGAGAAGGGTTCAGTAGTCACAAAAGTTTTACCACATTCTTCACATTTAAAGTTTTTCTCCAGTATGAATTCTGTGATACAGAATAAAGCTTCACCTCTTATTTGTAAGCTTACCAAATTCTTATATTTGCAAAATCCTCCCCAGTATACCTTCTCTGGTCAGGAGTCAGGGTTTAGCATTGCTTAAACACCTGGCCACATGCTTTAGTATTCAATGGTTATATTCTAGTGTAAATTTTCCAATGTAAAGTAGGGGGTGAGCAGTCCACAAAACATTTTTCAAATTCCTTAAATTTGGAAGATGTACTCCAGTATGAATTCTGTGATAATGACTAAAGTTTGAAGAGTGATTAAAGACCTTATTACATTCTTTACATTGTTAATATTTCTGTCAAGTATGAATTCTGTGATGTTAAGTTGTAAGGGTCGGGTAAAGACCTGGTCACATTCTTTACATTTGTAAAGTTTCAATCAGTATGAATTCTGTGATGTTTAATAAGGTGTGACTGTTGGCTAAAGGCCTTGCCACATTCTTTACATTGGTAAGGTTTCTCTCCAGTATGAATTCTGATATGTTGAGTAAGGTATGAGGACCATTTAGAGGCCTTGCCACATTCTTTACATTGGTGAAGTTTCTCTCCAGTATGGATTCTGTGATGTTGGTTAAGGTGTGAGAGCTGTTTCAAGGCCTTGCCATATTCTTTACATTGGTAAGGTTGCTCTCCAGTATGGATCCTGTGATGTCTAATAAGGACTGAGGGCTGGTTAAAGGCCTTGCCACATTCTTTACATTGGTGAAGTTTCTCTCCAGTATGGATTCTGTGATGTTCAGTAAGCTTTGAGTGATGGATAAAGGCCTTGCCACATTCTTGACATTTGTAAGGCTTCTCTCCAGTGTGCATTCTGTGATGTTGAATAAGGGATGATTGCTGGCTAAAGGCCTTGCCACATTCTTGACATTTGTAAGGTTTCTCTCCAGTATGGATTCTGTGATGTCCAGTAAGATCTGAGGTGCAGGTAAAGGCCTTGCCACACTCTTTACATTGGTAAGGATTTTCTCCAGTATGAATTCTGTGATGTTAAGGTATGAGTGCCACTTAAAGGCTTTGCCACATTCTTTACATTGGTAAGGTTTCTCTCTGGTATGGATTCTGTGATGTTCCTTAAGGTATGAGTGCCATTTAAAGGCCTTGCCACACTCTTTACATTGGTAAGGTTTCTCTCTGGTATGGATTCTGGAATGTCGATTAAAGCCTGAGGGCCAAAAAAAGGTCTTGCCACATTCTTTACATTGGTAAGGTCTCCCTCTAGTATGAATTCTGTGATGTTGAATAAGGCTTGAGGGCCAGTTAAAGGATTTGCCACATTGTTGACATTCCAAAGATTTGTCTCCAGCATGAATTCTGTGGTGTTTAGTAAGAGGTGAGTCTTGGGTAAAGGCCATCCCACCTTTTTTAAGTTTGTAATGTTTCTCTCCAGTATGGATTTTCCTGTGTCCATTTAGCAATGACCCATACTTAAAAGTTTTACCACATTCTTCACATTTGTAAGGTCTCTCTCCAGTATGCACTAGGTGATTTTGAATTAGTGTTGAGTGCCAGTTGAAGGCTTTGCCACATTCCTTACAAATGTAACCTTTCTGTCCAGCATGGATTGTCCTATTGATATTAAGTCTTGATGACTGACTAAACATGTTCCCAGGTTCATTGCATGTGTACGGGTTTTTTCCCACAGGACTCCTCGGATGATCACCAACATTGGAGGACTGGTTAAGAATTTTCCCACACTCAGTATATTCAGAAGGATTCTCTCCCAAATGTATTCTCTTCTGTCTAATAAGGTTTGAGCTTTGATAAAAGACTTCCCTACATTTAGTACAGTCACAATGGTTCCCTGGCAAAGGAGTCCGTAGATATTTATTAACATTTGAATCCTGGTTCAATATTTTCTCATATTCACCGCAATGAGCAATTGTTTTCATTGAAAATGCTGTGGTTTGTTGTAAGGTCGACTGCTCAGGGAAGGACCCCTCAAATGGATACCACTTACCATTTTTTTCTTCCTTTTTCAATCTCTGACTTTCAGAAATATTTGACTGAAAGGTTAATGCAATCCTATTGTCAAAATGGTGCAAAGAAGTATTTTCAGCATGGGCTAGGTCACTTTCCAGATTCTCCAAATTTTTGTTCTGCAAATATGTCTGTTTGACCACTTGATTTGAGCCTTTGACTATAGAAGCAAACTGCCTTGCAGAAGTAGCCATCTTAGAAAGGGTGGTTTTCCAAAATGTTTTATATCCTTCACCGTTTTGGGCGGTGAGACTTGTATAATGGGCAGTTGTCTCTTTGCGTATGTGCTCCATGAGATCTTTGTTGCCTTTGTCTCTCCCCAACACTGTTCCAGTCTATCACTAAGCATCCATTCTCACGGGCACAATGTTTACATCTATCCACTAACACTCTTTGGAAAGAAGTTTGTCTGCACATTTTTGGAAGGGGGCTCTGGGTATCATTTGAAGATACAGCTGATAGGTAATGGATAAAAGTAAAATCATCTCACTTTCTGCTGTCAGATAAATACAATTAATATTTCTTATACACAAAACTGAAATCAGAGAACTTTCACTTCAAGAAAAATGAATCATTAGTCTTTCTACCATACTCAGATTGTATTTGAATTTAATCCCAAATATGTTTTTATAAACTTACTGTTGGCATATTTTACAACATTGATGGTGTTTGTTTATTTAGAAATGAAAAGTTTTGGCATGCCTGGGTGGCTCAGAGTGTTGCACATCTGACTCTTGGTTTCAGCTGAGGTCATTGTCTCACCGTTTATGAGTTCCAGCCCCACATCCCGCTCTGCACTGACCGTGTGGAGCCTGCTTGGAATTCTCTTGTCTATCTTTTCCCTTCCTCCACTCTCTCTCTCTCTGTTTCTCAAAATACATGAAAAAAAAACTTAAGAAAATGAAAGTTTTCTGCTTGCTTGATTCTAAAGAAATGATTACACCCTTAAATTCTGTGTAATAATGTCTTTTAAGTGCTTAATTCATAAGGGTTTTCATTAGAACTTTCCATGGTTGATATTAATATACTTTACAGTTTTACTGTCCATGATGACATGCCAATAATTCCAAATGTTTGCTTTTTTCATGGGTACACAATCAGAGTTTAGTATTATAGCTACAGGGGCATCTAGGTGGCTCAGTAGGTCCAGTGTCCAACTTCAGCTCAGGCCATGGTTTCATGGTCCATGAGTGGGAGTCCTCTGTTGGGCTCTGTGCTGAGAGCTCACAGCCTGGAGCCTGCTTCAGATTCAGTGTCTCCCTCTCTTTCTGCCCCTCCCATGTTTGCACTCTGTCTCTCTCTCTCTCTCTCTCTCTCTCAAAAATAAATAAATAAACATTAAAATTTTAAAGAAAGGAAACAATTTATAATCATAGTGACAAAGGGGATCCTGGGTGGTGGCTTAATTGGTTAAGAGTCCAACTATTGATTTCGGCTCAGGTCATGATCTCACATTTTAGGAGTCAAATCCTGCATTGGGCTCTGCAGTGACAGGGGAGAGCATGCTTGGGATTCTCTCTCTCTCTTTCTCTCTCTCTCTCTCTCTCTCTCTCTCTCTGTTTCTCTGTTCCTCCCCTCCTTGTGCTCTCTCTTCAAATAAAAAATAAAATTATAGATTTCCTTTAAATAATTCACCTTTTTTTATGTAGAAGTTTTTGGCTTATATTTTGTCTTATTCTGGTTTTGCAATTCCATACTAATGTGCTTCCTTTTGTATGGGACTTTCCACAGCTTTATTTTTCAACCTCAGCTTTAGGTGTGGTTTTGTTTTTTACCTGTGTATTTTGTTATGGGGTGACAATTTTCAACTCATTACATTTTCAGAAAATATCAGTGTAACTCAAATATGAATCAGCTTTATGCCCTCTGCCAACAAAATTATCTAAGTATTTGCATGTAGAAATATTACACATGCTTACTTTGTGAATCATCCTGTGTATTTCTTTCCTGGGTTAGTGGTCAGTGAATGTTGTTTCATGTCTACATGAGTTGTCATAATAATAGAATTAATTTCATTATCTATTTATTGGTGTACATATTTATTGTGTACATATTTTCATTGTGGTTTCCTTAGGGATTACTTAAAATATCTTAAAGGTATAACAAACCATTATATGTGCTGCTGGCAGAGAGCTTGACACAGGGCTTGAACTCACAAACTGTGAGACCATGACATAAGCCAAAATCAAGGGCCAGACACGTAACCAACTGAGCCACCCTGATGCACCTATGTAGCTATAATATTAAACTGTGACTGTGTACTCATAAAAGAAAAGGAACATTTTGAATTATTGGCATGTCTTCATGGACAGTAAAATTGTAATGTATATTCACTAAAATCAAAAGCTCTAATGAAAATTCTTATGAATGAAGCAGTTAAAAGGCATGAAAAAGTGTATTATGTTAATAGATATCTCCATTTACACAGAATTTAAGGGTATAATCCATCCATAGAATCAAGCATACAAAAACCTTTCCTTTAAGTTTTATTAAGTATGTTGAGAGAGAGAGAGAGAGAGAGAGAGAGAGAGAGTAGGAGGGACAGAGAGAGAGGGAGAAAATCCCAAGCAGGCTCCATGCTGTCAGGGCAGAGCTGGATACAGGGCTAGAACTCACAAACTATGAAGTGGTCATGAACTGAACTGAAATCAAGAGTCAGATGCTCAACCCTCTGAGCCACACAGGTGTCCCAAAAACTTTCATTTCTAAATAAGCAAACACCATCAGCATTGTAAATAGGCCAACAAGCACTTTATTTAAAAACAAACAAACAGGGGCGCCTGGGTGGCTCAGTCGGTTAAGTGGCCGACTTCGGCTCAGGTCATGATCTCGCCGTCCGTGAGTTCGAGCCCCGCGTCGGGCTCTGTGCTGACAGCTCAGAGCCTGGAGCCTGTTTCAGATTCTGTGTCTCCCTCTCTCTGACCCTTCCCCCGTTCATGCTCTGTCTCAAAAATAATTAAACGTTAAAAAAAATTTTTTTTAATAAAAAAAATAAATAAATAAATAATAAAAACAAACAAACAAAAAACAACCTTTTTATATTGAATTCAGATACATTCTGAGGAAAGTGGAAAAGACTGATTCATGTTTCCTGAAGCAAAATTACATTTATAATCAAAACTTTTTTTCTAAATATAAGAAATTCACTAATCATCTACCTCATTTCTTATGGAGCATACGTCCATGTCATACCAGAACTTTTAATCTAGGAGTACCTAGGTGGCTCAGTCAGTTAAGCATAAGACTTCAGCTTAGGTCATGATCTCACAATTTGTGGGTTCAAGCCCCATGTCAGGCTCTGTGGACAGCTCAGAGCCTGGAGCCTGCTTCAGATTCTGTGTCTCCCTCTCTCTCTGCCCTCCCCTACTCACTCTCTCTTTCAAAAATAAACAATAAAGGGACGCCTGGGTGGCTCAGTCAGTTAAGCGGCCAACTTCAGCTCAGGTCATGATCTCAAGTCCGAGAGTTCGAGCCCCGCGTAGGGCTCTGTGCTGACCACTCAGAGCCTGGAGCCTGTTTCGGATTCTGTGTCTCCCTCTCTCTCTCTGACCGTCCCCTATTCATGCTCTGTCTCTCTCTGTCTCAAAAATAAATAAACGTTAAAAAAAATTTTTTTTAAATAAACATTAAAAAAAATTAAACAATTTTTTGATCCAATAAATCATAAAGTAATCTCAAATATAACTACTCAGAAAGTGAAAACATATATGACAAAGTCACAGGAACTTCATATTATACAAGACAAAATTATGAAATGATTCAATTATTAAGAAATAATGTAACAATTGAGATTTATTATAGGTTGTGAGTTTTAAATTCTAAATGTCCTATCTCCCCTATGGCATTAATTCATGTAGGATTTCTAGGAAAATAATAGGTGCTTGAAATGATTTCACCATTAAGGAATGGAACACGTAGAATAGAAATCTCTTATTTTAGTTAATACCAAACAACTGAACTTTTTTTAAGTTTTTTTTTTTTGTTTTTTTTTGTTTTTTTTTTTTTTAGAGAGAGATAAAGACCAAGTAGGGGAAGAGCAGAGAGAGAGAGGGAGACTGAATTCCAAGCTTGCTCTGTGCTGTCATCACAGAGGCCTATGCTGGCCCCAAACTCACTGTCTGTGAGATCATGACTTCAGCTGAAGTCAGATGCTTAACCAATTGATCCAACCATGCGCCCTCAAAACTGAACTTTTGAAGTAAAATAAAGGGTTAGATTTTCTCATTTTAGGGAGGTGCTTTATTATCTGATGAAATGAGTGGGTGTCAATTTAGTACGATTAAGATTAAAGCATCCATAATATCAGAAAACAGATAGCATGTGATATCTGTCCCCATTGTTTCCGGGATTTCGGCACCAACCCCCAATATGTCCATCAGTACCCTGACACACTTCTCACACAAGGCAAATACTCAGAAATGTATTAACATAGACTTCCTCAGAAACACAGAGATTCCCACCACCCCCCCTCAAAGCATTGGACAACCAATCAATCAGATTACGGAGGCCCTCACTGTGGACGTGAAGGACCTACAGTGGAACTAAAGGACAATCCTTAGAGAATGTAAGAGCATGATGTGCTGGAAAGCAAAAGTCCACTGTGAGAGGAAGAGACATGAAACCGGCCTTTTAAAACTAATTTCAGGGGCGCCTGGGTGGTGCAGTCGGTTAAGCGTCCGACTTCAGCCAGGTCACGATCTCGCGGTCCGTGAGTTCGAGCCCCGCGTCGGGCTCTGGGCCGATGGCTCAGAGCCTGGAGCCTGTTTCTGATTCTGTGTCTCCCTCTCTCTCTGACCCTCCCCCGTTCATGCTCTGTCTCTCTCTGTCCCAAAAATAAATAATAAAAAAAA